TTGGAGTCTAGTTGGATCTGTCCTATAGTACAGGTAACACCTGGTCAGAACAGTCTGCTACTTTCTTAATCAGGATTTGCCAAGCCAGTTTTGGTTCTCTCAGGCTACTATAAGTAGGTCTTAATAAGATCGATCAAGATGCCTTATCATAGGTTTGCACCACCTATACCAGTTTGTATTCCTTTGTGTAATAACACAAATGCGTCCATGTCTCCCAGCGCCAACTCGGGGTGTTGATATACCCTGGTTTACAAATATATAAATTCAGCTCAATTTAGAATAAGCTATTACTGTGACACAAGTAAGTTATTCGAAACATCACTAGTGGGATTCGAACTCAGTACTATAGCCAACAAACTTGGAGTACGACAACTTTACTACTTCGCTATGTTGCCACACCCTTCAAATTAAAATTTTTTATAAGAAAGAGCAAATAAAATTTATACATTTATATTTTTTATAATTTTGTCTATTTAAAAAAGGTGTTAAAAAATTTCATCTTTTAAGTAAAATAAATTAAAACCAATTTCATCTTTAAATTTTAATTTCAGGTTTTAGAATTTGAAATAATTTTGTCGGCATATATACTTCAAAGTATCTGGTATATTTTTCTGTCTCATGCTTATTGGCTCAGAACTTCTAATCTATTGGTTTGCTAAAAGTAAGACTCTTTGCTGCCAGTTTTTCAAACTAGTAACCCAGTTGGTATATATTAGTATACTTTTGTTAATTTTTGATTTTTTTGAATTAGCAATTCAGTTAATAAATTTTCTACTTAAGGATCTTTTGTTGTTCAGTTTATTAGTCTTAGTTTAAACTTTTAAATTTGGTCTTTCTGTAGTACTATTAAAGGTTTTAGCTACCTCCTTACTTGGGTTTCTCAAACAGATTTTAATCATCCTAGTTTCTTGGCATTGGTGTGCCAAAGCTTCTATTCAAGATATTATAATCAAAGTTACAGATACTAAGCCCCAACTAATTGTCAAATAATCATTACTAAACACAGGTCTATTATTTAATATCATTATCTCTGAGATTTGAACTCTAAACTTGCTACTTAGAGATAACAACTTTACTACTTTACTATATTACTATACTCATAAAAAGTTTATTTATAAAACATAATTTATATATAATAATACTTTTTTTTTAACTTTAGCAATTCTGCTTTTATTTATTTAAAGTATATATTAAATATATATAGTAATTAAACAAAAAGTTTATAATAACTAAATGCTTTTTATAAGATGTAGTGATTTAGTATAGTGGTTTAGTTGCCACTCTCTTCAAGTAGCAGGTCTAGAGTTTGAATCTTATAAACAATAATTTTAAAAAATAAGCCTGCATTATAGTTAATAGTTATCAATTATTTGTTGAATCTAGAATAAAATCTGCAATCTCAATCACACCATTTAATAATAAAAGCTTTGGTGCAATAAATCTAAAGAACTGAAAACCTATTTGAAAAGTTTTAAATTTGGAGATAGTAGTGATTTTCTATAGTACTACAAGATAGCTAAATTTGAACCAGAGCCTAATATTGAAGAACTGAGTGACCAGATTTTAATGTTAGAGAATTTACTAGCTAAACCATCAGGTTGTTACACCAAAAAAAAAGAATATATGCTTCAAAAGTATAAACCAAGAGAAGGGTAACTATGAGGTACTTAAAGCCTGGGCAAACTGACTCTTTCAGATTGCTAGCTGAAAGTAAAAAAGAGATCAATAAAGAATCTGAGTAAGAAAATAATTCAAGTGAGATATTAGAGTTGTTGTAAACAAAATAAGGCAAGGAGTATGTAATAGATACCTAATTAGAAAGATTAGTGCTTAAGAAATATCTGTAGAATAGCAACATCCCAAAAGGTGGCATAAGATATATATACAGAATAGCAAATCAATATATATTAATTAGAAATAAGTTATAGAAATATGCAAGTAAATATATATATAAAACATGTATCACTCTGTTGGGTTTATCTTAAGGATAGATTAGCTTAAATTAGTAAGTTCTAAAGTAGAGTGCAAAATTCTAATTAGGTAGATACAAAATTTAGCATATGAATAGTAAGTAGTATTCATAGATTAGAGGGCTAATAGTGGTAGTTAGAACCAGATAGTTTAAATGGGTAACCTCTATAGTTGGATACAAATATAATAGATAGTGTAGAACTCTTAATATAGTACTAATACTTTGGATGAACTACTTAAATTAGGCATTAAAAGTGCACATGTAGCTTGATATATCTTCATAATAATGTATAGTGTTTGAACTTATTTAATAAAATTTACCAACCAAAAAAGTCTCTTTAAATATATATATATATATATATAAGAGTATAACAATATTGTATAGTAGTTAAGTTGTTATATTTTAAACTAGCTTGTAACTAAGATACCAAGTTTGAATTCTATTAGTAACAATTTGAACAAAATTACTTGTGTTATAGTAATTAATTTTTATTAATAAATCAGGTTCTAGAGCCTATAACTAATATTACTAGTATATTGGAAGATTCTAGAAGTATCTGTATAATACAGGTTGTATAAAAAACCAAAATATATAAAATTAAAAGAGGACTTGAAAATCTAGAACTGGCTTGGCAAGTCTCAAGTTAGAAGTAATAAGAATTACAAAGGTACTACAAAACTGAACCAAACTAAGAACTAAAGAACTAGTAAAATTAGACATGCAAAATTCTTGAGGTGGGATCTACCAACCTGACCACCAAAGTTACATTGGGAAAAAAAAACATATGCTCTAAAAACATGTACCAAAAGAAAGAAGTTTATAAAGCATTTAAAGCCTAAGCAGGCCAACTTTATTGAGCTAACTGGATTGGTAATTTGAGAAATCTGAAAATATAGTTTAAAAAAAAAGTGAATGTGAAGTGGGTGTTTGGGTCTGTAATTTTAAACTATACAAGGATAAAAGTAAGTAATAGAAAACTAATTAAAAAAGATGTAGCTTGAGATACAATCATAATATAGCAATATTATAAAAAATAGTATGAAATACAAACACAAAATAGCAATACAACATGTACTAATTAAGAAAAAGTTACTAAATATTGTATATAGACAAATATGTGTATAGAACACAGACTACTCTATTAGGTTTATCTTGAGAATAGACTAAGAAATTAGTAAATTCTAAATAGAGTAATAAATCTAATAATAAGTTGTTTGACACATGTGATATTTAGCCTTGGCTTGGAATTATGTTACGGTTAAAGAGTTTAAATAGATAACCTTGTAGTTGAGTTATAGATATAGCAAATAGTATAGAACCTTTAAGCAAACTACTTAAATTAGACACCAAAAATGCATATGTGGCTTGTTATACCCTTACTGTAACTAAAATTAAACTTCTAATAAAATCTCCCCAGGTCCAAGAGGTTCCCTTTAAGATAAATATATATATATATTTAATTTTTTGTATAAATTTATATATAAAAAATTGAGATAAGGTAACTTACAGTATTTGATTTATAAGTAACAGCAATTATATAAATATGTTCTGTAACTAATATAATATTCAACACTATAAAAATTATATTAATATTAAATTACACAAGCTTAATAAATTCTTATAATCTAGTCGAAACAAATTTTGTTAAATCTTTAACTATATTTAATCGGGCAATTTTTTAAATAAAAAATTACTACAAATCACTAGTGGTGTTCAAGTCTAGTATAAAATTTAGAGTTAGGGTGTAGTTTCAAAGATTTTTTTTTTGTAGATTAGATATAAGATCCCAAATTTAATTCTTATAAGGTTTTCAGAGATTCTGACCATTTTTACTTAGAGTACCCGATTCCGTTTACTTGAGATATAGCAATATCGGTGATGATCACCAGTGGTGATAAATAGCAAATTTCTTTCAAATATTATATAAAATAAATAAATAAATATATATTTAAAATTTCTTTAAAAAAAACAAAAACCAAGTTGTTGATTATTTTTTAAAATTTTATGTATATGAACTAAAAAATTAATTTTATGTAGTCTTGGTACGATTTAATCCGCCTCTATGCTATAATTATAGATTTAAACATATGAGTTGTTTAGAGTTGTGTTATTTATTAATAGAAATTTAATTTTAAATCTTAATATCTAGATTATTTGTTAACAATTTGATATAATATATATATACTTATATACAGTATAATTGTTGCCTAAGGAATATAAAGATAAAAAGGGTACCGGTACCATCAGTTAGCAAATCACAATTTTTGGTTTTATTATCAAATCTTAATAAGAACAATGCTAAATTCCTTGTTTTCATAAAATCAAACCTTAGAACAAACCTTGCGGTCTTTTTTTTTTTTATAAAAAATTTTTTTTTAAAATTACCCGATTATTAAAAAAAAACTTCAGTTTTCAAAAATTGACCTGGCTAGATTACGAAAATCAAAAATTAATTTTGTATGGCATAATTAATTTTTATTAATATATGTCCCTTTAGATTCTTAATGGTCTCCATTATGCTAAGGTATCGAAATAGCATTGGTAACTACGTACAAATGGTTTAATTTGTTGCTGCAAGCAATTATGTATGTATAAACAGATGTGCAGTAAATCATTTCCTCGTCTATTTCCGTGCTGGCGATCATAATTTATTTACATAATACTGTATACATATCTACATAATCTTATTATTCTCCTGAGTAAACTGCTTATTGTATTAAATCCTTATACATATGATTTCTTAATATTATACCTTAATAAACTGCATATCGTATTAAAATCCTTATACATATGATAACTTATCATTATACCTTAATAAATTGCATATTGTATAAATCCTTATCGTTATATCATAAACTTGCATATACTTTACAGCTTTTCCTTTCACATATGTATCAATGTGCTTATCATGATTTCTTAAATTTTATGCGAGAAGTGGGAGAGAGTAATGCGTAATGCGATCAGTGTATTGGGTAGAAAATCCTAGTAGAAAATCCTACTTCGGATCCAATCCTTTAGGGGTGTCCGTTTATGATTTTTTAGTAGGCGATAAATTGTAGCGTCGTGCTGAAAGGAAATTTCGATGCCTAGTTTATGAAAGAAAATACTACAACCAGGATATAGTATTCTAGGCAGAGGACGAGCGGAAACGATGCCGGACAAACGTAATTGATTTGTTGTTTCAAATTCCGAAATATCCGCGGGCATAGTGTTGTCTAATTGCATTCCTGGACAATCAAGAAGTTGTGAGGAAAAAACAATAAAGTTTCTGAAGACAAGAATGAAGGTAGAGAATTACCGTTATTAGCTACTTGATAAACATGTCCAAGAAATGTGTGGGCGACGAAATCTCCAACTACATAATTCCTGTTGGGTAAGACTTTGTCTGACGCGATAGATTCGGCAACCAACTGTGCTAACTCTTCCTTAACCGTAACGTTAAGGAAAATATATTGATTTGGACTGTTGAATGCCGTTGTGATGGTGGAGATATCGTGCTTAAGCACTTCCTCATCAAAAATACCCACTTGAAATAAGATCCATCGCATTGATCCGTGGCTTTTTTCTACATTTTCTTGGTGGGCAATTAGACGCCTATGCAACCGGGTGCGTGGGCATCGTTTGTCTGAAACATAAAGTTCCCTAAAAAAAGAAAGATAAACATTTATTAATCGTGATCTACAACAATGCAGTGCAAGTCAGCTGTATAACTCACAGCTCCATCCCAGAGTCCCAGGTAATGTATAGGGACACATTTTGATTAATGCACGCATTGAGAAGCATCTCCTGCTTCTCAAAATTATTATACAACATACTGATAACCACAACCGCGTCTACGGGAAAAAAAAATCAAAAAAAAAACCACAAAAATTATAGAATAAAATGTATGTATATCAATGAAATATCTTACTGGACACACTCCATTCGTATTGGGATTGTGTTTCCCAACAACCTGGGATGCTGATCGCATCCACATTCGCATACTTGGAAAAGAGTTGAAATTAATTCGTGAGCATACACAGATTAAATAAATAAATACACAAATTAATTATACCTCTGTTGGGGTATGGTGAGCAGGGTAACATATTCTAATATTTCGGGCACCCTTTTTCCGTAACGCGGCAACAAGATATGTTGTCAGACGTAAATCATCGTTACAGAAAATATAAATTTCTATTTCACTGATATTTACGTCGGCCGTCATTCTCAAAGGCACCCTTGTGACATAACCCTCTGGACTTTCCGGAGACCAGTTGCTCTGAGAGCAATACGAGCTCTGAATTCTGGGAGTCATGCGATCACCCAAATTAATTTAATGACGGTGGGATCTTCTTAAAACGGCGTAATAAATAATTTTTTTTTTTTTAAGAAAAAAAAAAAAAAAAAAAAAAAAAGCCTATATAGTATGTATTTTGACACTTAGGGATATCTTATGTAAGATTTATGGATTTTACCCAACTACACCTTAATTCTATATGTTTTTGATATTATTTGGTCGACGGCCCGTTTTTCACCACTATAAACGGCGTCTTTTTCAAAATCGTCAATCGTGTCAGCAACTAACCATGAAAGGAATTTCTGACCTCTTTAAATAGTTTAACGGTCAATCATCGTTTTTTTTTTTCATTTCAAAAGTCTGACTGTAAAAATAATATTATTATTAAATTAAAATAATATAGGCGTATATATATAAATGATGTTTAATTCCCCCTGATCCAATTACCCCCAAACAGAAGTTCCTTGACTTGCGCGCGCACAGACAAACAGACAAACAAACAACATGCAGAAAGAACCAGACAGTCACGAGGCTTAAATTTCGTCATCATGTAATTTACGTAAGTTGGCGGCTCATCATTGCATCGAGCCCTGCATAATGTCAAACCACTAAATACACGAAAATAACTAATTTAAAGTTCGATTTTTCCCGAAATTGTTGTGCCCACTGCTAACACGCTTCTTGTAAGTTAATTGGTTATGGAAGGATACAGGACAAAATCGGGTGCATGCCTATTTGTTATGATTATGGCGTAACTTTTAAAATATAATAGACTTAGTTGAAAAGTATTCTTTTTTATTTACAATTTTATAATTTATTCTCTTGTATCAAAAATTTTTATGAGATAAACATTCTTAATAATCCTGCATGTTATTTATTTACCATCTCGCTGTCGCACAGGTTTGTTTGTTATTCTTGACATTTTTGTGACAAATCATATAAACTTACTCCAACATCTACTTCTCATCTAATTGGCATTTAATATATATATATTTTTTCATAATGATGCATAAATCTCCTTTCGCTAAAAGGCTAACAATGCTATTTTTTCGATCTTTTAGATATAGTGCGCTGCCATTCTCGGAATAGAAATTTTTACTGTTCTTTGTTATTTATCTATGTGTGAGAAAAAAAAAATTAATTAGATAAATGCAAACAGACCTGCGAGCACTAATGATTCTATGAACCATAAACGCCAAAAAACGAAACTATGGAAAGTAATATTATTGGTTCAAAAATTAAGGTCCCCAAAATTTAGATATACGTAAGTCATTCAAATTGTGATTTTGACCAATCAAAATCATTAATTTTGGGGATTAAATTTTTGACTTTAAATTAAATATATACAACATATACTGATATATATATATGTATTTGTTTGTTTTTTTGTTTTTTTTGGTTTTTTGGAGATAGAAAGTCTACTAGCTACACGCTGATTGCATTTACTGCGAATTGCAATATAACCCAATATATTATTCTTTGGCGATTTGATTACCAAAAAATTGGTCTTAAAAAACCAGTCTGAATAATAAGGAAAAATCTTACGTACATGATATTAGTAATAAATCTTGAAAAAGAAATTGTGGAGCATATTTTTCGTTCTGTTACTTAACAAACTTGGAAACATGTTGGGATAGTGCGGTAGTGTTACATGCAGACTCAGATACGGATCACGATCATCCTGTGAGGCGTATCTGATAACAAAGTATAAGGAGAGCAGCGTAAATCGATGCTATACATTGGATAGAAGAACGCCTCTGCATCTTATTGTTATTAAATGCTTAAACAAATTGATAATACACTACTCTGCGAAAATATTCGGTCTTCATCATATATTTGTATTTTGAGCCTGAAATTATAGATGACCACAACATAGATACATTACGTACATATTAAATATTAAATATATAGTATTGATTGACAGAATCGTCTAATAAAGTTAAATTATGTAAATTTATAATTTCTAGAAATACATTTGCCATTGTTGTTATGCCTTTAGACATGCTTCGATAACCATGACGTCAAATGCCGTTACCACTACTTTATATATGTTCTTCATCGATTGTACTTTCAGTGTATTACTTGAATAAGTTTGATTACTGCCGCCGTTAGTTCTTATTCACAAAATGAAAAAGATCTTAAAGAATAGTTGAATGAAATGAAATATATTTAACGCCTACGTTTTTTATTTGTTCAGAAATCTACGCCTTCCCGTCAGGGCTCACTTTATTTTATGAGGATTGCATGTATGGTTGCCTTAAATCTTATTGGGAAATATCTTGAAGTCTTACGATAAAGCCACCTCAATCTTACTCGACGCTTGAAAACGAAAGTCCACTTGCTATGCAAATCTATGCAGATGCATGATAAACAATAGTTTTATCGCTATCCATTGAGAATTTAATAAGGCAAACCCGGTATCTTTGCTTATATACGCACTGTATTGTTATTATAAACTTGAATGTATTACCTTGTATTATTATTATTATTATTATTATTATTATTATTATTATTATTATTATTATTTTTATTATTTTTATTATTTTTATTACTATTATTATTATTATTATTATACTGTATATATATTATTAATTCTATATACTCACAAATGGGGGCTTAAAAATTGCATCCATCTTTATCTCTTAATAAACCATTCAACTCTTAAGAACCGTTATCTCTGTCAGGTAATTAAAGGACTTTCTAACATTACAGGCATTTTGCATAAGTCGGTTATAGGTAGTGTTAGTAATTTGGTCTTTAAAGACGGTCCAATGGTCTTTTTTGTTCTAAAGACCAAGTCTTCGCCAAAATTATTGTAGGATATGTATTACTATGTCGTATACAGTTATTTCTTCGAGGATGGGTATTTTTTAGAGTATTTATAAGGCGAGAGAGAAATTCGCAACAATGCAGGCCATCCTTTTATAAGAAATTGTGAGTGATCGTCATTTCTTCTGTAATTCAATAGTAAAGATATTGTTCGCGCACTTATAAGGATCCAAATTAGGAATTTGAATGTAAAATTTCAATTGGCACAGAAACTTTGCATTGGCGTATCTTACTATACGGATTCCTAATCGAAAATATCAGGTTTATCTAATACAGGTACCCATATTCAAAATTTTAGCAAAGGTTGTTTTATGCCCATGTTTCAGCACGTTGAAATTATTACAGTACAAACACACCAATTATAATATTTTATAAGCATGTTGAATATTTAGTTAATAATAATTTTTATAATTATAATATTATTAATATAAAATATACGTATTAGATTCATGTATGTTATAGTTATATTTGCAAAATATTTTTTTTAAAAAATATATATAATCTAGGCCTAAAACTAAGCATTATAATATAGCAGCTATATATATATATATATATATATATATATTATCATATAAGGTTGAAGTATTATGACGAAGTTAACAATTTTTAACCATAACACGCGATCTATTAATCAAAATCGAATGATTTTGGTATCATTTGATTTGTCTCATTGTGCTAAATCGATTGATGCCAAGATAATTCATTCTTATCACAAGATTCTAAGATATTTGAATTTAAATATAAAGATATTTTTTGCATTAAGGGGCATTCTGACGAACCGTGACTCCGTCAATGATTCGTCACAATACCTTTTTACTATAGTTTTCCATATATTTGAACAGCTTAAACATGAATATGGCTCAGTAATCCAAAATGAACGATTCTTATATCAGTCGATTCCTCTCGATGAGAAGAATCGACTGGTATATAACACACACATTTTGGATCACTGAGTTAATAAATATAAAAATGTATCAACTTAGCTATTTTGCGATCCCGCAGTCCGAATTGCATGAAATCTACACCATTTTGATTCCTCGGAATCGAATGGTATAAAATTTCATTTGATTCTGATCACGGGATCATGAGATATCAAGATTCGTCACAATACCAAATTCGTCCTATTCCCCTTTTATATATTAAATCGTGCATTTTGTAAAATAAATTAATGAAACCAATAACTATAAACTCTTTAAGATTTATTATCAAATGTAATATGTTATTAATGTATAATAATCCTCCAATTTACGCAATAACTGGGGGGTTTTTTTTTGCCATTTATTATTACAGTATTTGACTTTCTTCAATAATTTTTTTTTTTTGTTGCAACAAATGAAAATACTGTATCCTGGTTAAAATCTTTTAGCACTATTGTGTTTTCTTGATTTTGTTCTTGAATTTATTGTTCCATATTTTTTTGATCATAATGTATCATGTGATATTTGAATTTTTTGCGTACGTAGTGGTTTTACCAACTGAAATTCTTTAAGATGCTCGAGAAGTTCACTAAATTAGTCTATCAACAATTATAAATACTGTATGCAAAAACATTACATGCACAACATGCACAATCATTACCATACAAATAATTAGTCGCATTAACAAATCATGTACACAATTGTGCATAGTTATTCAAATTCAAGATCTTTTAATACATAATGCTCGATGCAAACATATAAGTCCAATTATAGTATTAATAGTTTATAGTTTTAAATTATAAAAAGTTTCCAACCATCTATATAGTTTGATTTAAAAATTTTATTTTAAATTAAATATACAGTAGAGTTTGGAACCGGTTTTATTTTCATATGTTAACCCCGATTAAACCGGGTTTAACATATGAAAAATAAACCGATTCCAAGCTTTAATACAGTATTTAAGATCACTTAAGCGGGTTCTGATTCTAATAAGATTATACAATTCGACATACAACAATCCATCTAAAGGTTTTATGATGAATAAAAAATAGACGTAAATCAAATAAAAAGAGATCCCCCCTATAAATTAGACCCGTGTATGAATCATAGGATCTCTATTAAATAAATGCAGATGTTTTTAAAAACCCAGATAGTTATTGCAAATGCAAAGTGTGTATGTACTTTAGAGTTTACCTTGCTACAATATAAACGCTCAGCCCCCGGGTCTACTATAGGTTTTAAAATCGGTGGAATGTAGCAGACCTGGGTCTTGTATTGATCTTTATTGTACACTTCTTATGTGAGTACCTAGCCATTTTCATGCATGTTATTGGGTCAATTCTAATACATGATACACTAACTTTGTTCACCTCCTATCGGAGGTGAACAAAATTTGTGTATCACGTTTAAAAATGACCCTAGGTGCTTACGTCAGAAATGTACAATAGCAAGTACTTACGGTAGATAATTCTGACGACTAAGATAACTTAGATAATTCTTTATTATAATAACTATTATTTGATTTCTGTTTAATGAAATCCAATAATACAGTATACGTATATAATGCTAAAAATAAGCTATTTTTTTAGAAGCTTAACTTTTGTTCAAGAGTTTTTGTATAAAACAAAGAATTTTTATTACAAATAGTATTGCTAGTTTGTTGATTATGTTTTTAAAAATTAAAAGTAATATTTTGTTATTGAAAATAGGCAAATTCTATTTGTACACTAGTGTATAAAACACGGGTATATTAATAACTCAAAATTTTGCTTATGAACCCACTTTTCAAGTTCTACAAAAAAAAAAATTTTAGTATAAACTACCTCTAATCCTATCCCACCTTTAATTTGATTTGATTTTTTTTTAAATTTGTATTACAGTATTTTATTGTGAATAAGCACTACACCTCTACCCCAATTTTTAAATATCAGATTAGCAGAAATCGCAATAAAGTCTTTAGCCAAATTATTACTGCTAATCTGATATTAAAAAAAGTGAAGTAGAGGGTGTAGTGCTTATTCATGATAGGATATAGTAAATTTTTTTATAAATTATACCTGTGTTTTATACACTGGTATAAATTAATAAAATTTTGAAAATTACTAAATATACATGGGGTGTTTGAAACATGGGTATGATTTATAATTAATTTTTATTAAAAAATGTAAGTAAATATTAATAATTTAATATTAGGGTTAGAATTAGAGATTATAGTTAGCAAAAAACAAGTTTATTTACAAGGAATTTTTTTTCTTAGAACTCAAAAGATAGTTTTATAAACAAAATTTTTAGATATTTTTATTTTATTTTTGTTATACAAAAAATGATTAGCATACTGCATTTAATTTTTATATTTTGATTGGTTTTTTTATTTATCTTGTATAACAAGTGCTTAAATTTCCTGTGTACAAATAGTAATTGTCTAAAATTTAAAAATAAACTAATATTCAAAAAATTTAAATAAAAAAGTGTAGTAACATAGCTGTTACCTCTCCAAGTAGCAAATCTAAAGTTTAAATTCTATGGATAATAATTTTAAAAATTAGCCTGTGTTTAGTAATGATTATCTAATAATTAATTGGAGTAATCTTGGTTATACTATCTTAAAATAAAAACTTTGGTATATGAATATCAAGAACTGAAATAATTGAAATCTATTTAGAAATACTGTACTTAAGTAAAAAAAATAACTAGGATGTTCTATAGAATAGGTAAGCAAACTTTATGAACTTTGCAACTTTACTAAATATCTATTAATAATTATTAATTATTAGCAAAGTTTATTTTTTATATTGTCCACCTATTCTATAGAATATTTAATAACTAAAACCTTTGACAATATACAAAAAAAACCAAATTTGAAAGTTTAAACTAAGATTGAAAAACCAAGTAACAAAAAAATTTTAAATAAAGAGATATACTAACTAAAGAAAAAAGAATATATAGTATAGTCAACTTTGTCTATTCCAAACTATCTGTTTTTATATATAAACTAGCTATTACAGTATTTTTGTTTTCTAGTACTTATAGGTAGAGGTTGAATTTTTTAAATATCCATCATAGCTATTCAGTAAATATTCACAGATTTTGATGTTTATAAATAGTATTGAATGAATATCTGGATTTTGAATAGATACCTATCTATTATTGTAACTGTGAATATTCATAACAAATATTTATACAAATATTTATAAATCAATTATCAATTTCCAATCTCAACTATTTATGAATTTTGTGTATTCAAATATTGAATATTTAATAAATATCTATTCTTAACTGTGAATATTCATGGATTCAACCTTTACTTATAGATATAAAATTAAAAAAAAAATTTAAAAACTATATAATTTAATTAATTATAAATTAAAAAATTTAACTAGAGCAAATTATTCTTTTTAATTATTGTTAAAGTTAGAGTTAAAAATTAGAAATTATTTTTTTTATATAAAATAATATAGAGTTAATTGTTCAAAAGACATTACAGAAGAGTTATAGCAATCTAGGTTGTGTGTGTATCTACAAATTAAAAGGTTTGATTGGTTGATTGATAAAAACAAACATTTGCTCCAAAAATATCTATTGTTAAACTAATTTGTAATAAGTCCTTCAGACTTTAAATAGTTTTCATTTACCTAGTATAAGATTTCAATTTTAGTTTTTATAAGGTTTTCAGAGATTTTGAATATTTTTACTTAGAGTATCTAATCCTGTTTACATTATTGAAATATAGCACTTCTAGTAAATTTTTCTTTAATTAAAATTAGTAATTTCTATAAATTATATACAGTATTATATATAAACCAATATTATATACTATTTTTTGAGTTTTGTTTATTTAATTTAAAATTTTGCTATTTAACATTATTAGTAATTATTACTAATATTGTTTATTTCAAAAATATACTAAGTAAATAAGATCAGATTAATACAAATTAGTTTAAAAAATAATAACAAAAATAAAAAAATTTAAAAAATGAATAAAATATAAAAAAAACTAAATCAAGATAAAGTAAAAAATAAAAAAGCAACATAAAACATATGGATTTGAAAAATATAGAAAATATAAAAATTAAAATTGTATTAATTAGACTTGATATAAAATATTTTAAATATATTAAAACATTTACAGGACTAGCAAGATTATTTTTATAATATGTATTCTACTTTCTAGTTTTCATGCTTTTATAAAATTCATACTTAAATTTTAAAAGATATTCCTTTGTAGCTACTTTTAATTCATTAAATATTTTTTACGATTAACCTTTTAGCGATTGCTATACAGGTTTGCTAAAAAGTAAAATATATTGGCTTAAATTAAATTAAATAGAAATATTTTTATTAAAAAAATAATTACTTTAATAAAGTTAACTTTATTTTTAAGGTTAAGACCTTCCAACACATGTCTATCTAAAGCTGAAACTTTTTAATTTAGTATAGCAATTTCTTTAGTTAAATTAAGAAACAAGTCATTAATAAAAGCTAATGTAATTTAATCTTAAATTATTACTAGTTGAATAATAAAATTTCTGCAACATATCTGCTAGCCAATATATCATATATAGGCCACTAAAATCAAGTAGAAATTGTCCAATATGTACTAGCTGATAGCTCACAGAAATTTAGCATATATCTGCACATATATCAGCAAATTTCTGCAACCTATATATAGAATTTCTATAAAAATATTAACTAGCAGATATACCAATATATAGAATTTCTACAAAATATTAACTAGCAGATATAATACAAATATTTTAATGATATTTTATAATATTTTAAATTTATATATCACTTGGAATATTAATTTATTATAATTTTATTTTTTACAAACTAAATTATATAACTACAAAGCAAAAAAATTGAAATATACCAAAAGTAACAATAAAACAGCACCAAAAAAACTAGAACTATAGAAAAAAACTGTAAAAAATAAAAATACACCAAAAGCAACACCAACAATTCTAATAATAATTCGAAAGACAATTCTAGCAATGAAATAAATCTAGAACTATAGAGAAAAACCTCTTAAAGAAAAGCAAGAATACACCAAACCCAACAACAAAATAACATCAGCAACTCTAGTAACAATTTGAACAAAAAAAAACTATTAAAGAAAAGTGAAAATACACTAAATATGACAATTAAATGGTACTAGCAACTCCAGTAATGATTTAAACAATAACTCCAACAACAAATTACACTAGAGCTATAGAAAAAAAATACCTGTCAAAGAAAAGTGAAAATACACCAAACACAACAATGAAACACAATAATGAAATAGTATTAACAACTTCAATAACAATTCGAATGACAACTTCAACAATGAATTATACTAGAGCTATAGAAAAAAACACCTGTTAAAGAAAAGTGAAAATACACCAAACACAACGACAAAACGTGACAATGAAATAGTACCAACAACTTCAGTAATAATTTGAACAACAACTTCAACAATGAATTACACTAGAGCTATAGAAAAAAAACACCTATTAAAAAAAAGTAAAAATATACCAAACACAATGATAAAACATAACAACAAAATAGTACCAACAATTCCAGTGATGATTCAAATGATGACTCCAATGACAAATTATACTAGAGCTATAGAAAAAAAACACTTATTAAAAAAAAGTGAAAATATACCAAACACAACAATGAAATACAACAACAAAATAGTACCAACAACTCTAGTAATAATTCAAATAATGATTCCAATAACTAATTACACTAGAGCTATAGGAAAAAAAAAACTAGTAGTAAAGAAAATACAACAAAACAGCACTAGCAATTTCAGTGATTATTTGAATGACAACTCTAGTGATAAAATTACCTAGAACTGTAGTAAAAAAGAAAACGAAAAGATACCAAATGCAATAACGAAACAACTTTAGTGATGATTTGAATAATGACTCAAATGATAACTCTAATGACAACTTCAATGATAAAATTATAGTTAGAAAAATAGAAAATAATTGTTAAAAAAAATAAATAAAAATGATAAAAATGATTAAAAAAAAAAAAAGATAAAGTAAAATAATTAAAAAAATATATAAAGTGAAATAATTATAATGAGACAATTTGAATAATATTTCAAATGATGACTCTAACAATAACTCCAACAATAAAATTATAGTTAGAGAAATAGAAATAATTGTTAGAAAGAATAAATAAAAGGTAAAATGATTAAAAAAAATAAAAATAAAGTAAACCGATTAAAAAAAATATAAGACAGTTTAAAAAAGTTATACAAGATCAAGATATTGATGATTTTAAATATAAAATTTTCAAATCACATAATATAATTATTTATAGTGAAGGAAGTTGTCAATTTTATTAACAACTCTTTCCAACAATCACCAAAACCAAATTTGGAGCTAAAGAACTTCCAAGGCTTGGTCACAATTTCATTAAGACAACAATAGAACCTGCTTTAAGCAAAAAGACAGAACACAAAAAAAGAACTGGAGCCTCTTAGAACAACTTTGTATACTACACCCTTCAAAATTCACTACTGAGAAAATTTTATACTTTCAACAAAAAATTTTAAATTTTTTTAGAAATTTTGGGGAATTGCTATTACCCCTGTATTGCAGATCGCATTCGAACAAAACAAACAAACACATCCATTTTAGGAGTATAAACAAACATATCTATTTTAGGAGTATAAACAAACAAATCAATTTAGTAGACAAACAACTAACAAAACAAACAACTATGTGTATTTATAAACAACAAACAGTATACGTAAAATCCAAACACAGTTAAACAAACAACACGTGCAAAATGCTAGAACTCATTAATTACAAAAACTTCTTTACTAAGTCGGAATTAGAAAGAGTAGAAATACAAAAAGAGCAAAATTCATTTATTCTAGAGGCAGACAGAAAAGTTGCAGAATATTTAGGAACTAACGAAATATATCTTATCACAATTGTCTGCAACGTTTTACATTTTTATGACTATGCTCAGCACAAGACAGTTAGAGATCAAAACATAACTGAAGAGGAAAAGATTCTTATAGGTATCACTAATAACACCAAAATGCAGGTTGATAACATAGATAA